CTCCTGTTCATCGATTTACTTGAGCAGTAAACGTCTCCATTGTGATACTTGTTAATGTGTTTGGCATATCAAATATGTCACAGGTAACTTGCCAGGCTTTGCCATGAGGACGAGATATTCTTGGTAGCTTGCCGGTATGTCCGAGAAGGATGGAGGAATCAAACTCGTTTTGGCTCGAACTCGGGGGGACTGGTCAATGGTTGGAATCAACCACAAGTTTATGTTGGGAGAGGGGCAGAAGGTAGGTAAGATAGAGTAGAGACCAGTATGATAATAATAGCTGGGAATGATCACACTGGACAAGATTTGAGTGTTAAAAGTAGGTAAAGGGATATTCTTGATAACTCTTTAGTGTCAATATTACAAACCACAATGCCCATATTATTTTTCCTAAAACTTAATGTGCTTAATTTCACTAGTTAGATAGGAACATACACATTCTGATTTTAAAATAAATCCAAATACTACAGCTCTCAATGTAGTAAAAAATCAGAGTTGACTTTTCTACCCACTCTCTATCTCCCTGTCCCATCTACAGCTGCCAATTGAATGTATTACTAAAATCAATTTCAGCATGTCTTTTCAGAAAAGAAGGTCATGAAAGGTTTTGAGTAGAAAAACTATTGCTTTGATATCATTTTACATTTTGTTAGTGCCCTCTTTGTACTTTGCTCTATTCTGGCTTCTGTGGTAGGGGTCCCAGATTAGCAAATTAAAACAGATGAGTCAATTGAATTTGAATTTCAGAAAAATAATAAGCTATATATTTAGTATAAATACATACCACATATTGCATGAAATATTTACCTTGAAAATATTTTTATTAAGTAAAAATTATAATAATTGAATATATTTAGCTTTAAAAGGAAAAAAATTCTGCTTCATGCTGCCATAGGAAAATAAATGCTTTATTATTTAATTTGAGGTGGTAGGGCATTTGCCTTGCATGAGGTCAACCCGGGTTCGACTCCTCTGCCCCTCTTGGAGAGCCCTGCAAACTACTGAGAGTGTCTCGCCGGAACGGCAAAGCCTGGCAAGCTATCTGTGACGTATTTGATATGACGAACACAGTAACAACAAGTCTCACAATGGTCACATTACTGGACTCATTCAAGCAAATCGATGAACAACGGGAGGGCAGTGACAGTGACAGTGATCTAGAGCAGTCGAATTCATAGAGATAGAAGGAAGGAAGGTTGCGGGGTGGATAGTGGCATGGGAATGGAGAACTGATATAGGCGACAGAGTTTCATTATGTAAAGATGTAGTTCTGTGACTGGAAGGTGGTAGCTTAGATTGCTAATTTAATGTTGCATGCATTTACCATAATTTAAAAATATGAAATTCGCATTAAAAACTGGACATTCACAGGATTATCTGCAATCCTTTATTTGTGTATTTTCACCTACAAATCAGATGGATTATAACCAAACAGGTTCAGTATACCGAAGCCAACTTCGGGTTTCTGCTTCTGTTCTTTTTTTCTGAGGGAACTCAGTGGGTGGGGTCAGGAAGTGGGAACCAGATCCTGATTATGGCCCCTGAGAAATTCTGATTTCCTCCTTAACTTCCTGGATAACTGTGTGCAGCTTATAAACACATGTGGGTTGCCTGCCTCTGCAGAGGGCAATTTATCAATCCACCAACTTAATTTCCTTGACTTTAAAACACGGAAGCTGGGTCTGATGACCTCTAACATTTATTATCCATTTTTGCAATGTTCTGAAACTCAATTAACATTGCCTTGGTCTAATAAGCTTAACATGGTCTGGATAGTTTTCTGTGACAGCAAAATCCTTTCTATCTCTACAAACATCTATCTCTATTTGTTCATTGTTAACTGTTCTCTTTATTTTATTGTATATTTATATTTAATTTACTCATGGTCTGCTACAATGTAAAGAAAACTGACTTTTTATGAAGCTGGTTAAGTTTTCAACAATTTGTAATTATTTTAAACTGACCAGTGTTAAAAGAGCTAAAAGGTAATTAAAAAACTCTGATCCAAAGGTAGTTCCATGCAAAACTGTAAGTCCTTAAACTAAATTCCTCCTTCCTCAGATTCCTCATCTGTTATATGGGAATATTTACAGTATCTACTTCATACTGTTGTTCTGAGTGAATGAGCTCACTTAGTGCAAAGCTAGGAGTAAACCCTAGGCACATCCAAGTGTGATTCCCAAAACCAAAAATAAAAATTTTAGTATTATGTGTATTCTAGGGACTGGAGTGATAGCACAGTGGGTAGAGTGTTTGCCTTGCACGCGACCAACATGGACGACCCTAGTTAGATTCCTCCGCCCCTCTCGGAGCACCCGGCAAGCTACCGAGAGTATCTCGCCCACATGGCAAAGCCTGGCAAGCTCCCCGTGACGTTATTGGATATGTCAAACACAGTAACAAGTCTCACAATGCTACTGGGCCCACTTGAGCAAATCGATGAACAATGGGAGGACAGTGACAGTGACAGGACAGTGTATTTCTAGAGCAATTAATCATTTCAATTATTATTATTATTATTATTTCTCTCAGATAACAATGTAGTTTTATATTTTGGATTTCATTGGCCAGATCAGTGGGTAAAGTTCTCTTGCTTAAGTGTTAGTTGTGAATATAATATTGAATATAAACACAAGAGCAAAAAGCACCAAGAAAGGGGAAATCACTCCATGGTTCATCGATTTGCTGGAGCAGGCACTAGTAACGTCTCCATTCATCCCTGTCACGTGCTAGTGTAGACTGATGGCAGGCATATTGGGGGCTTTTTCAGGGTCAGGGGAATGAGGACCATCATTGTTACTGTTTTTGGTATATCGAGTATGCCACGAGTAGCTTGCCAATCTCTGCCCTGTGGGCAGGATATTCGGTAGCTTGCTGAGCTCTCCGAGAGGGATAGAGGCTTTAGGGGATCCTCTAATCACTTTTACAGGTGTATCCAGTCAGGCATATATGCAGACAGGATACTCTCAGTAGCCTGACGGGTTCTCTGAGAGTGAGAACTAGAGAATAAGAGAAACATTTAAAATAAGATTAAAAAATGCTGCAAGTTTAACAGATAAAAAAGATTAACATTATATACTCACCTGGCAGAGGAGATACCATGGTCACAAGGGTGGTGTTCTCAGGGCGAAGCTTCTTCATTGCAGTCGGGAGGTGCTGACCCTTGAAACTTGACTGCGTCATTTGTGGTAGTGGGAGACTGTGTTCTCACTCCCTTAGAAAAAATTATATGCCTATTATTTATTTTAATGTTTATTATTTGTTTGTTTGTGGGACACATTTGGCAGTTGTTAGGGCTTACTCCCAGCTCTGCACTCAGGAATCACACCTGGCAAGCTTGGGGATTATATGGAATACCAGGATTGAACCCTGGCCAGCTACATGCAAAAAACAAACATTCTGCCTACTGTACTATCTCTTTGGCTCCCTATATTTAAAGGGTCATTTACAAATAAGAAATTATATAATAATAAGCAAAAAAAGAGTTGCAGTATACAAAAGAAATGCAAAAAAGCCAATAGACGTTCAGGAAAGCTTCCTTAATAGTCAAAAAAATTAAAATTAAGACCATGTTGATTTAATGATTAAAAAACTTACTAGATTTTTTCTGGATATATCTTACTTAAAATCACTTAACTTCCATCGATTTGCTCGAGCGGGCGCCAGTAACGTCTCCATTTGTCCCTGTCGCGTGCTAGTGTAGCCCAATGGCATCTGTTCGCTCCGGGAACATGAAGGGCCTCAAACCGATCGTTCATGATCTTGACGAAGAAGTCTGACCATCTGGTAGGTGGGCGGCCACGCGGTCTTTTGACATCCCGTGGAATCCAATCAGTAACAGCTCTAGTCCAACGGTCGTCTTTAAATCTCATTACGTGACCAGCCCATCTGATTTTCGACACCTTGGCAAATGAGACAGCGTCCCTGATCCTTGATCGTCGACAGATGTCAGAACTCCGGATTCGTTCTCTCATTTGAGTGAAATGTGATATTCCAAGCATAGCTCTTTCTATTCTTCTTTGGGAGACCTGAATAGCGTTCTCATCTTGTTTGCGTAGGGCCCAGGTCTCTGAGGCATATGTTAATGCAGGAAGAACAGTGGAATCAAAGAGATGTGCCCGGAGCCGGAGGTTCTTCGTCCTCTTAGCTATTTCTTCGACGTTCTTGAAGGCGTTCCAAGCCGCTCTCTTCCTCCTGCGCAGCTCGGGTGCCAGGTCATTTGTCATGTTGACCTCTCGACCTAGGTAGACATAGCTGGATATATCTAAAATGATGTTTTTCCCTCTTTCTGATCTTACAAAAATGTGTTCAACATTTTCCATCATTGTTGCGTTATCAAAACAAAGTTATTTCAAGGTTTATTTAACTAATTTAATAGTCATTTTATGGTTGAATATATTTTAGACAATTGTAAATATATATATGTATATATATTCTGGATCATTGAAGTATCAGTTTGAACATTTCTGGGCGAGGACAGTATTATAATTTGAGGAGTATCTCATTAATTATCCCCTCTCCACCACCACCACAGGATATGTTGATAGATGGTTTAATTCCAGTAGCCACTGAAAAATGTTGGATATCTTCCTCTTTCTAACCATAGAAATGGTTTAATTTGTAAAAATAATGTAAGAAAATACCCGTTTTGATTTTTCTTATTTTTTATATTTTTGAAAATAGAAAATTTTTAAAATATTTCCTTTAAATATCATTAACACACATGAATGCGTATAATTGTGTATATAAAAATGTTTGGCACATATGTTTCACTTTACCTTTTGGATCAAGGGTATAGTTAATGGGAATGATGCGGGCCCCATACTAGAACCATATACCATTGCATCTTGGTTCTGAAGTTGTGAGGCTCCAAGTGCACCCTGCACAAGGAGCCATGCTTCTAAGAGGAATTCAATACCTACAAATGCCCTTAATTCACCTACTAACCACAGGTGTGGGAGAGTGATGCGTGCTAACAGTGCTCTTTGTCCCTTTGATAGCCTTGTTAATGAGGTGTATGAAGTGGATGACACCATCCAGACCCTGCAGCAGCGCTTAAAGGATGCAGAAGACTCCCTGCAGTCGCTGGCCCACAACAAAGCTACCCTGGAGCATGAGCTGGCTGTCAAAGCAAACACACTCTACATCGACCAGGAAAAATGCATGAGCATGCGGAAGAGCTTCCCCAGCACCCTTCGACTGGTTGGCTTCTGCTAGGGTTCCCGTCACAGAGGTCTGATATTTCACAGGGGTCTGTTTCTGCATCAAATTGAAATCTAATACATTTACTTATTAAAGAATTGTAGAAATGCACTCATCTCCTATCTGGAAAACCTCTTGTTTGTGTTCAAACCTTGATTTTTCTATTATTTATAGGCTACTGCTGGATATTGGGAAAGAATTATAATCTAATAGGGAAGGTAAAACCAACTTTTGTAGTATCATTGTGTAAATGGGCTAGAATTAATGGCGTGGAAAAGAACTACTGGTGGTTTTTGTTTGTTTGTTTTGTTTTTTTAGTTGTTTTTTTTTTTTTAGTTTAGTTTTTAGGCCAGGACTCATGAATAGGTAAATTTTATCTATGTCCTAAAGAAAACAGTGAGGAGGAAATATATGGTATGTGAGGTAGTTTGAGTACTAGTAATAATAGAAAAATGCAGAATGCATTCAGAATAATATGATTCATCATGCCGGGATGGAGCTGAAGCGATAGCACAGCTGTAGGGCGTTTGCCTTACAAGCGGCCGGGCCTACCAGAGTTCGATTCCTCCACCCCTCTTGGAGAGCTCGGCAAGCTACCGAGAGTTTCTCGCCCACACGGCAGAGCCTGGCAAGCTACCCGTGACGTATTCGATATGCCAAACACAGTAACAACAAGTCTCATGATGGAGACGTTACTGGGCCCGCCCGAGCAAATTGATGAACAACGGGAGGACAGTAACCGTGATCATGCTGGGACTATATGAAAGAAGCTCACAGATGAGGTGCCTGGAAAGTGGGGGTCTTGCATTCTAGGTTAAGGAGTTGGGGAGCTGATGTACAAGCTGAGCAGTGAAATGACTTTAGGAAAGTAATAAATGAACAATGAAAGTTTGGATTGAAGGGGAGAAGGGAGTGAAACAAGGAAAGGAGAAATGCTAAGCAAGCTGATCACCAGTAACTCTAGCATGTGGAGACGTGTTGTAGGGTCCAGAATAACATAGAGATGAGACATTGTTTACATTCTGGGAGCTTTCATGATATATCTTTTAAAATTATTTTGATGAACTACAAATAAGTAGCATTTTCTTATGTTTATTGAAAAGTAGAGCAAACAGGAGACATAAAACTGAAAATCACTTGTCACAACATCCAGAAACAATAAGATCAATTTTTTTTGCATTGTTCATATCAAAAAAGGGCTTTTGTGATATGTTGTCAAATTGCCTTCCTGAAATTTTGTTGAATCCAGCTAGTCGTGTCTGAGAACACTGTTTGAATCTTTGATAACCCTTCATTATCCTTTTCTTCATATAAAAATGTGTTATTGTTTAATATATCTTATTTTTGTGAAATTAGTGATAGAGACATTGGTCTCTTGACCCTTATATTGTTCTGAGTTGTTTATCTTTGTTATTTGCCTATAACCCAACAACAGGTTTTATCTTTTCCAAATCTATTTTAAGAGTTTCCTACAGCAATTAAATGGCATTTTGTCATACATACTGAACACCTACTTTTCAATGTCACTTAACTTTGCATTTTGTTTATGACACTTAATATGTAAAACTTGAAATGTATAATTTTTTCATTCTGATTTATACCTTTGTAGTTATACTAGGAAAAGCCCTTCCTTATTCTGAGATCATTAACTTATAATTTCTCTTACTTCCATGTTACTTAACCATCTGGAATTCAACATGATATGATATGATATGATATGATATGATATGATATGAGCACACCAACATTGAATCCAGTGACCTAGATGTTCTGAAATGAGAAATGATATTACCGACTTATCTCTCTTGATAAGATTTTTTACAACTTGATATGCTCCCATCTCATAGTAGTTTATTATCTCACTCTTAAGTTTGTCCAATTCTTGATGGTTCAATTTCACTATACATATCAAAATTGTTGATACTCATTTTTAGACAATAGTAAGAATGAACAAGTTCCACACACATCTTGTATATGTTCTAGTAAAAAATCTTGCTGACTTTTCCCATGGATGATAGTTTTATTTTTTTTTGAGAAATATATGTTCTTTTAACATATGGTCCTGCATTACAAGAATATGATGGGAAAAAATATAGTTAAAACACAGAAAAACAGCTAATTTTGTCAAACTTGGACAAGGCTAAATTTCACAAATAAACATTTGGTTTCTAGTCTAAAATACTGCTGTTACTATACCAGGACAAATATTCTAATGCTGAAATCTCTGAGTAGCCAAAATTTACAAAGTGTGATCCATCCCATTTAAGAAACACAGAACTGCAAATATCACATTTTTCTCTGACTTTATATATTCAGGTCCCTATTTTAATATTATGTGGTTTTAAGAAGGGTGGTTGGAATGTCAAGGGCTTCCACATACCCAAGCATCATTCTAATTTAGAAATGTGTGTAACTGACCCCTAAATAGCCAAGTCATCTTTAATTTTAGTAATTTCCATTTATGTCTTTGGAGAGTGTTGTTATAAACACCTCACCTGGCACTTTTGGTTCCCGAGTTGATGCTGTAAATAGCTAAGGTGGGGTCTGGCTTTAGGTTATAATTTTTGTTTTGCAATGAACCCAAGGATGGATTCCTTTCCTTTGTAGGGCTGACCAACAATACATGTGAGGAGGTATGGCGCTACTTAAATTGTGCCTTCGATCTTACCTGTCAGCCTCTTCTATACTAGTATGTGCCTTAAACTCTTCACGGCAGCCCTGGATTCACCCCTGGCATGATTGACAAGACTAGTCTTCTATGTGAAATGCTGATATTTTTCTGTAGTCTCAGATATTTTCCTTTCTCCCAAAAGGCAAAGGTTAACTTTAAGGTAAAGTATCATTTGACTCAGCGTTAAGGCCCTTATTTTTGTTATTTAAGTCCTGCATTCACTCAAATATGTTTTTCTACTTTTTCCTCTCCTACAACTGGTGTTCTGCTAAGCCTGAGCAGCTGCTCCTTATGAAAACCTGGTTACTGATAACATGTATTGTAGCCTATCTTTTTCGTACAAAAAGTTGATGATTTTCACATTGCACCCTAAGACCACTTGGTATGTGTTGTGAAGACACTCTATAAGACACTCCATAAGAGAAAAGAGACCAAGAAAGTCACCAGAACTGCATACATGACTCAAGAGCACCACAGTATCACTGTAGCACCTTAAAACAGTGCTAAACATGGAAATAAATTTTACTAGTCTTCTAAGTAGATATATGTTTCTCAGGGTCCTGGGGGGAAAACAACCATATTCAAGTATTAATTTAGTGAATCTTGCCTGGAGCTATAGCACAGTGGTAGGGCATTTGCCTTGCTCACAGCCAGCCCTGCCGAGCCAGGTTCGATTCCTCTGCCCCTCTCGGAGAGTCCGGCAAGCTACCGAGAGTATCTCGTCTGCACAGCAAAGCCTGGGAAGCTCTCGTGATGTATTCAATATGCCAAACACAGTAACAAAAAGTCTCAAAATGGAGACGTTACTGGGCCCGCTCGAGCAAATTGATGAACAATGGGAGGACAGTGACAGTGACAGTGACCTCTGTCACCTTCAATATGGGTTTAATTTCTATCATTGGAAAGTATGGAAACAGAATAGCACTGTCAATTCCAGACCTAATCTTTAAAATGCCTAGAATGTTCTACTATGTTCTTGAAAGTTGACTGCACTCTGAGGATTTTGACTATAGATTACCATGCTATGAGAAAGCCCAAGAAGTCACATGGAATTGTTTCATAACCTCACTGGTTGACCAGATAATCTGAGATTGCTTGGAATATGATGACTCTTGTGTGTGAAACCCCCGCCCCCTAGAATAAAGTTAAATCTGAGCTCTTAACCACCATTTTATACTGTTAACTGGCCTACAAGATATTATGCCCATACTTATCTGGCAGGGGAGATACCATGATCACTAAGGTGGTTTGCCCAGAGTGTATCCTGGGTGTGCTGATCTCAGCAATTTTAAAATGTGGGAAACAGCAATTGCACTAATTTGTGGTAGTGAGGGATTGAGTTTATGCTATCCTGGGTGGGGGGAAGGGGAGGGAGATAGTATGCCCAGGTAGGAGCTCCTCTTCTCAGTAGCAACAGAATATGTGTAAATGACTGTATTGATGAATTTAGGATGTATATGGACACTAAAATAATTTTAATAGCAGATTTATATAAAATCAAAGCTGTTGAGTGAGATTTAGTTTTTGGACCTATTACCACTTGATATTGGTATATAGAGTAAGGATACCGATAAATTTCTGCAGGCAGAGTAATTCTATATATGTTATTTAATTGCCATAGATCATGATCATGATCATCCTATTGTTCGTTGATTTCCTCGAGCAGGCACCAGTAATGTCTCCTTCTTCCTAGCCCTGAGATTTTAAAAGAGCCATTTCAATGCTCTTTCAGGATTAGGAGAATGAGACCCATCATTGTTACTGGTATTTGGCATATTGAGTATGACACGGGAAGTTTGCCAGATTCTGCCGTGCAGGCAGGATACTTTTGGTAGCCTGTCAGGTTCTCCAAAGGACAAAATAAGATAATAAGATGTTGCGCGGCTGTGAATTCTGGGTTTTATAGTCTCTGCAACTTGGCCATTGATGGGACCAACCTGACGCTGGCGGCAGCTGGTGGGTTTGACGCCTACATACTGGAAGATGGAGGGTCTAGGTGGAGAAGGCCCAGTCCCAATCCGGGTAGGCTTGGAGACCTCAGCCCCGGGACCCGCATGCCTGGGTTCCTCAGCCAGTTCTTTCATGCATGAGGCCCGTCTGGACGCATGGAGAGTGGTCCCAGCATGGCCGCGGCTGGCTCTGGAGGTCCTCAGCTGCTGGGGCTCTGCTCGGGATTGGGGGGGGGGGAGAGAAACTCAATCCTCCCCCTCCAAGGGGCCCCGGTGAGGACAGCCAGGCGTGGGGGCAGGAGACTCTTCCATAGATATGCTGTAAAATTACTTAAAAACCAATATGTTAATTTTACCAACATATTCCTGAGGATATAATATTTTGAACACTCAAC